CTGCTGCCGCACGTGGTTTCTGGGCTCTCCCATTCCACCAGTTTCCAATAGAGGAAATGGAAGAACATCCTTTCCCCAGACTCCTCTGTGATGAATGATCCCAGTAGCTATGAGAAATTTGTCACTTCTGGTTTCAAAGCTGTCATTCCCTGTCTGTTATAGCCAGGCAAGAATTTAACCAAGCACAATCTGTACTTGGTTAGTTGGTTTAGAGGATATGGGAAACTTCAGGGGTCTAATAGGGCCCTGATGTCTCTATAAAGAGTACCTGTCACCTGCCAAAAGCTGATCATAAGGGGGGTTGTTCGCCCCCTTGTAATATCAATAAAATTACAGAAAACATGTATTTTTTCAAAATTGCTAAATTATAATATATATATATTGAAATATTTGAATGCAACCCTACCCCCCACACATACACGCAAATGCAAATGTGGCTTAGGTTCTGCACACATATGTAAAAATAGATTGCACCATACATGTGAAGGTTTGCCGTGAACATTGGAGTAAAATCCATATTCCTATGGCCTTAATTCACAATTAAATTCTAACTGATAGCCTGTAAATACGTTAAAAGGTGTCACCTAAGGACAATTTTAGGTACCTTAGTTTGTCACTATTTGACAGGCACACACAATTTTAAATCTTGACACTGCTGATATATATTTATTCAACACAATATCATCTTATATATTTTATCAAAAAATTTGGATATTATATTGTGTTTGTGTGCATAAAAATGTATTTAGTGTATATCTTACTGAAAAATATTTTTTGATAAATGGCTACAATGCAATTCTAAAGGGCTTCTGTTGTCAAAATATATATTTTTTGAGGTTCTAAGTATTTTTTTTAACAAAAAAATGCAGATTTTTAGCATGTATGCAAACAATAAAATAAATTGCCATGGGAGGAAAGCTGCTAACCAAAAAGGGCATAAGTAGCTGGACACTGCCATAGAGTACATGTACCAATCCCCTAATATCAATCAGTGGGGAGAAGGTCTTTGTAAGGAAGGAAAAATCCACAACAGTGTAAGGGGACCAGTGGACATAACTCTGTCCTTACCTCCATGCATAGGATGCTCATTACCAAGTAGGCATGCATTAAAAAATGAGCAAAAACTACCATGCATGCATAGCACTGCTATTGGTGCCCAGCAGTCTATATAAACACAAGCACTGCAGAAGGAAGTTGCTTAGTGGTTTTCAGCTTGTTATTGTAATGTATTCCTGTGCTTGGTTCTCATGATCCTCAGCTCCTTGCCCCACTGAATCTGGCTGCAACACAGGTCCGGGCACTGCCCAAAACTTCAGTACTCCTGCCACTCCATGTCCTCACACTTTCAGTCAACACCTTCATGATTGTTGGGCAGGAAGTGCAAGAGGTGCCCCTTCATCTATTCGGTCTCTACCAGGTACATAATAGTATTTTATTGTGACTTAAAGGTCGACATTAATAAATATAAAAATCCTTCAACTAACATGCTTTGGGGATGCCTTAAACCTGCATGTATCACCAGTGTTGAGACAACGATCCTGAACCTGTTAAGGGAACTTGACTCTTATTCCCATTTATTCAACTACAAAATCAATCTTTCAAAGTTCGAAACTTTGAACGTTTTGGTCGCCCCAGATAAATTATCTTGTCTAAAATTGAACTTCCTGTTAAAACGGGGAGATTGGAGAATTAAATATCTGGGCAACTTCCTGACTCCAACTCTATAGACCACTTTCCAGGAAAATGTTCCCTTACTATTCTCTTCTCTTCACACTGATCTTCAGAAATGACAAAAATTCTAAAGCCCATAATCTATATTAATAATGGACTTGATGATCAAGTCAAATGTTTGCTCACCACACCTCACAATACACTGCGCTCTGACAGTGCATTGTGATTGGCCAAAGCAATGCACCTGACCACAGGTCAGATGCAATGATTTGGCCAATCACAACACAATTCGACAGAGCCATTGGTGACTTCACTGCTAGCTCCACCCAATTGTTTATATCTGACTGGCAAATGTCAGATAGCGGCAAGTGATCAGCGGGTGTGCAAAGGTCTGCGGGCATTTGAATTTTTTTATTTCGGCGAGTCGCTGTCATAGTGACAACGCTGGACACCGTGATTGACAATAGATTACATTGTTTTTTGTTTTTTTAAAATAGGGGATTTGTCAAAAACTGTTGTGTTTTTATTAACTTTTTTGGTGAATGGTGAATTTGGTGAACACTATGTACCCCAGATGGCAGATTCCGATAAGTCACTCCCTGCAGACCCCCACAACCACAGCCTAGGGTTGTGGGGAAGAGGCCCTTGTCCCCATCAACATAGGGACAAGGTGCTTTGGGGGTGCCCCCCCAAATCACCCCCCCCATGTTGAGGGCATGTGGCCTGGTACAGTTAAGGATGGGGTCCACTCATTTGTCCCCCCTTTCCTAGCCTGCCAGGCCTGTGTTCAAATCAAGCATCTGGTAGGAATTTGGGGGGCCCCACACTTTTTCCCCCATTTATTGAGGGTGGGGTTCCTCTTAAAAGTCCTACAAGGCCTAAAAGGCCTGGTATTGCTTTAAGGGGGAACCCCATGCCCTTTTTTTTTTTTTTTATTTTTACTGTGGTGTCCCTCCTAACCTTCCTACCAGACCTAAAGGGTCTGGTATGGATTGGAGGGGGGAACCCCACACTGTTTTTTTTTTATAAAAATATAATTTAAAAAGAAAAAAAAGTCAGTCCTGCTACAGCAGGTTCTATACATTGTACAGATGTATAACTTTGCAAGTAGTTTAAGGGCACCTCCCAGGCATTATATTTAAAGGAATTTTTATTTATTTATTTATTTTTTTAGTTTAAGCAATGAAAAATGACTGCCCTTTTAAAAATGGTACTTTTTGAAAACATTTTATTCACTGATTCATGTCCTTCAGGGCAGTACCCAAATCCCCATACCCCTTTTATGGCCAATAAGTTGCATATAAGCCTTCAAAATTGGCACTTTTGATTTTACAAGTTCGAGTTGCATTATGTTCGAAGTTCATGGTCGAATTTTCATTAGGTTCAAATTATTTTGACCATGAACTGAACAGGGGGGTGTTTGGCCCATCGCTAATCTCTACTCCATCTCTGGAGCAAGCAAGAGAGGATGGCTATGTTCCTACATACAGTGGGACCATGGAGAATAAACAAAGCCACCCTCTAACAGGAAGTTGGATCACAGCTGCAATATCATATTATTATACAGGATTTATATAGCGCCAACAGTTTGCTCAGCGCTTTACAATATAACGGGAGATAATACAGCAACAATACAGTTCAATACAAGAGGGATAGGAGGGCCTTGCTCCTTGGAGCTTACAATCTAGGAGAAATAAAAATGTAATTTGTAGATTTGGAGGAGGTGAGAGAAACAGAAGGTACTTTCCTGAGATAAGAATATAGAATTTTCTTTCTCTCATTTACATTTTAAATGCTAGTTAGCCCCTTTCAGTGAATTGCCTCTAATTGTATCAATAGTTTATCCACGACTTTTTAATGTAATTATTCTAGCACTCATAATTATCTAAATTATAGGTATAAATATACCTGTAATTGTATTGCCTGTGTACCTGCTTTAAGTAATTTTGTGCATTTTTTTTTCTACTTGAACTTGAAAGGATTTGCTTTGAACTACAAGCAATTCTATTATCTATAATCTTCATATATATTTAGACTCCTGTTGCTTCAATTGCTGAATGTGGACAAATTATACATTTGGTCACTGCTAAACCATACAAAGCACTTATGTACCAGTCCATCTATTATTTCCAAATACCAGTGTTTAATGCACATGGTCATTTTATCATCTGATTTTCATTTATTCCTTTTTTTATTCATATCAACAGAAAGTGAAAATTGGTTCTCTAAATGGTGACACCACAGCATGCACTGACCACAACAGAATATATATGCAATTTGATGTAACATAGGTTTCTGTAGGTATAGCATGGTAAATTATTGTTATACTGTATGTGAATATTTATATGGCTCATGAGAGCTTTACTGTCTTCCCACAAAAGACTATTTCCATTATAGCACTGGGAAAGAAAAATTGCACTTACTTTGAATTGAGACAGAGACACAATTTTAACTCCATGTTAGGTAAATATAAATATTATTAGCATGGTAATGAGGCAGGCTCCACATCCATGTGTACGAAATTCAAAAAATATGGCACAAAGCAGGAAGTTTTTGGAAAATAGTACTGCTATCCACGGGTTGTGTGAAAAGAATCCCATTTTAAATTTAATTTCTGCAGCAGGCTTTGCCTTTAGCAATTAATTTTCCATGCAGTAATCAATTGTTTTGCAGCATCAAAATTTTGAAATTTTGAATTTTACCAAGATGCCCAGAGTCTAATAAGGAATCCCCTATATCTTATATTTCTTGCGGTTTGTTAGATTCGCTCCACATTCATCACTTTGAGTTTATACAAGGTTATACAGAGCTCTTGATACTGTGCAACCTTTATTACAATCTCAACTATTGAATTGCGTAGCTCATTTTCAGACCCTCCCTATTGATTTTCTCCTACATATCTTCTTTAGAATTTTAAGGGATGACCTTCTCTAGGAAGCCTCTGGGTGGTTTGTTTGATTCTATTTCCTAACAACTTAACCTCTTGCCGACCGCGCATAGCCGAATGACAGCTTCACCGCGGCCGGCCAGTTCTGACTGGACGTCATATGACGTCCTCCCAGAATGCGCTCTCCTGCGTGCCCCAGGGGGCGCGCACCCGGCGATCTCCGTGATCGCTGTGTCCTACGGACACAGCTGATCACGTGATGTGGTGAAAGGCCGATCCCACCAGTCTTTTACCATGTGATCAGCGGTGTCCAATGACACGCTGCTGATCACAGGGAAATGCAAGTGCCGGTTCTCGGCTGCACTTTCCTCACGCTGTCAGATCGTGAGGAAAGTACTGCCGAGAATCGGCAGTTGTCAGAGCGGGGATCGGCACCGATCATCAGGGCACTGATGATCAGTGCCCTGATGATCGGTGCCCAGCAGTGACACCCGCAAGTTCCGCCCAGCAGTGCGCCCACTAGCCCCGCCCACCCGTTCCCAGCAGTGCCCCCACCTGTGCCCAGCAGTGCCCCCACCTGTGCCCAGCAGTGCACCCACCTGTGCCACTCTGCAGTGCCACCTACCTGTGCCCAGAAGTGCCACCTACATGTGCCCAGCAGTGCCACCCACCTGTGCCCACCCACCTGTGCCCACCAGTGCCACCCACCTGTGCCCACCAGTGCCACCCACCTGTGCCCACCCACCAGTGCTGCCCACCAGTGCCACCCACCAGTGCAGCCCAGCAGTGCTGCCAGTCAGTGCCACCAGTCAGTGCCCAGGGGTTGTGTGGCCGCCAGTCAGTGCCGCCAGTCGGTGCCCAGAAGTGATGCCAGTCAGTGCCGTCTATCAGTACCCATCATCAGTGTCACCTATCAGTGCCGCCTATCAGTGCTGCATATCAGTGCCGCCTATCCGTGACCCCTAATTAGTGCTGTCTATCAGTGCCGCCTATCCGTGCCACCTCATTAGTACTGCCTATCAGTGCCCTTTAGTGCTGCCTATCAGTGCCCATCAGTGCCGCCTATCAGTGCCCATCAGTGCTGCCTCATCAACGCAAATCAGTGAAGGAGAAAAAATACCTGTTTGAAAAATTTTATAAAAGAAACAAATAAACTTTTTTTTTTTTTCAAATTTTTTGCACTTTTTTTAATTTATAGCGCAAAAAGTAAAGCGCCCAGTGGCGATTAAATACCACCAAAAGAAAGCTCTATTTGTGAGAAAAAAATTATCTAAATTTCATATGGGTACAATGTTGCATGACCGCGCAATTGTCAATCAAAGTGCGGCAGCGCTGAAAGCTGAAAATTGGCCTGGTAAGGAAGGGGGTATAAGTGCCTGGTAGGCAAGTGGTTAAGCAACAGTGCCCTTTATGTAACTGCATTTACCCCTATACCCAACTTTTTGAATGTACTCTAGAATTTATTTTACAGCTGTTCTAGAGAATAACCACCCAATGATTCTCTCACACATCTATCTTCAATCCTGTGACTTACTATTTGTTGTATAATTTTACTACCTCTATGCTCGTCTAAATGATTTGTATTGTTCGTATGTTTTTCCGATCACCTGTTCACTTGTACATGGCTTGGAGTTCCATCTCTATACACACATAAGGAGGGCAGCACATGTCTTTCAATTCTACAAAGCATTTTTTTTTAATTAATTTATTGCTATTGCTCTTAGCACATTGTCAAACATAAAGCAACAGCCTCTACTATTAAATATACCAGGTCCAAACAAGCTGTTCTTGCTCTTCTAGATGAGATCTAGAGCCACAGGCTGTGGCAAGGTACCCTTCAGCTGCAACTACAAGCTTAAAATAACCTTTTCTGACCTTTCTGTAATTCTTACCCTCTTGGTGTCTTCCTGTTGCAACCCAAAACCTCCAGCCTGTTGCCCCAGGAAACCGTTTCTAATGCTTCATCCCTGCTAACTTACGTGAATGACTTTTATATAAAGAGAACTATGTTAAAGGACATAGGCAAAGTAATGTCATATATTAATAAAAACATGCCAACAAAATGAAAACATAAGGAACAACTAAGACAAATTAGAGTATACACTCCACATTATAGGTGTGAACTCTGGGAATAAGTGTAAAAAAAACAGCAATAACTACAAAATGTGTATGTAGTAATCCCAAATGGTACTAAAGCTAAAACTGAAAAACAATCTCAGAGCAACATTAACCATTTGCCCTCCAGAGGATTCTTCTTAAGATACCTTCTTAATGACCAGTCCTCTTTTTGCTACTCGGCACTGCACTAATTCAACTGATAATTGCTCGGTCATGCAATGCTGTACCCAAACAAAATTTATGTCCTTTTTTTCACACAAATAGAGCTTTCTTTTGGTGGTATTTGATCACCTGTGCGCTTTTTTTTTTTGTGCTATAAAAAAAAAAAGACATAAAATTTTGAAGAAAAACAATATTTTTTACTTTCGGCCATTTTATATAGCTAACTAAATTTAGTTCCAAACATTTATTTTAAAAAGATTTGCCTTTAAAACAATATTTTTCATTTCTGTCAAAAAAATATCCAAAAACTCAAATTTCATCATTTTAGGCCAAAATGTATTCTGCGTACATGTTTTTTGGTAAAAAAAAAAAATCTGTGTGAGATTTACTTTTGGTCCCTTATGGTATAGATACTGCAATTTACACCATGATTTTTTTGCTATACAGCACTGCACTAGTTAACAACTGTTTGTTTCATTTAAAATCCATTGTGGTGGTGTATAGAGCCAAAAATGCAGAATTGTGTCGATGTCCCAATATTTATGGACCTGACTATAAATAATAGCAGCGATCAGCAACTTATGGTGGCAATCAGCGACTTATGGCGGCGATCAGCGACTTATGGTGGGACTGTGGCAGACATTCTAACATGGGGGGAACTGACTTGGGGTCACTGACATCCCCAGTGACACCAATACAGTAATCAGTGCTAAAAAAAACGCACTGACACTGTACTAATGGCACTGGGGAGGATGGGATTAACAATGAGAGGCAATCAAATGGTTAACTGTGTGATGGGAGTGTTTTACTAGGGGGCAGGGGATGTGTGCTGCACTGTAAGCACACTGATCAGGATGGCTGTGCTCAGCCCTCCTCCCTGTCAGTGTCTGAAGGAATCACTGGGTGCTGGCGGGTAATCACCGGCTGGGACCTGGTGATTGACTCCCGGATCATGAGCCCCCTACCTGGAAATGCAGGATCACGTTTATATATGTGATCCTACGCACAGGAGCCACATTGCCACAGTATATGTACTGTGGGCAATCCCTTAGTGGTTAAGGCTCCATGCACACCAATTTTGAAAAAAAAAAAAAAAACACTGTTCCTAGAGGAGTTTAGCGTTTTGCCTGTAGAAACAACTAGTATTATCCTATGTGGTTGATTTACTAAAGGCAAATAGGCTGTGCCCTGCAAGATCTGAGGGGAGCATGCAAAGGAAAATAAAAAAAACTGCATTTTTGCTTGCACATGATTGGATGAAAGCACTTCACCTCATTTTATAGCTTCCACTCGGATCTGAAGCAACTGCACTTGCAGGTGCATGTGTGGTGCACTTGCAGTGCACAGTATATTTACCTTTAGTAACTCAATCCCTATGTGTCCATGCATATTAAGTAGTCTAGAGGCAATTTGTAAGCTCAGCATTTAGGGGCAGGAACCAAACCCCTCTGTTTTGAGTTTTTGAAAGTGTTTTTCTGGCGAAAAAAAAAAAGCTAAATGCTCCTAAATGTTCAAAATTAGCATTTTTTTCTACCAAAAGCACTGGTGTTTTTTTAAGCCAGTGTGCATGGAGCCTTAAAGTATTTGAGATACCTTATACAATTATATTTTGACAAACAATCCAAAAAAAAAAAAAAAAAAAAGTAACCACTAGGTGAAAAAATAAAACTGATATTGTGAGTATAGGCCTATACTGGCAATGCCATAAACATAAAGAATTATATATTGTGCAAAGCTTTATAACAAAAAAAAAAAAAGCCACGGGGAGTTTCAGTTAGCCTCAAAGTGCAGTTCATAAAGATTTTTATTATGGTGAAATCTATGGAGTCAAAAAAGCCCAGTATCTTAGATGTCAATTGACTAAAAGTATCCTGCTTTTTAAGTGGGTGATGTATATTCATAGCTACAGTTTCTAACATCACAGCTAGGTCTTATGAATCAATAAAATCCAAAATTGCCCACTATGCTCTCCAAATTCACCTAACAGTGTTTAATCCAAAATTACAGCACAGTGGCAACGTGGTTAGCACTTCTTCCTAGCAGCACTAGGGTCACCGGACCTGGTCTAAATAGGCCTTAACATGTAGAAATGGGAGTTATGGACCTTAGGTTGTGAGCTCCTTGAGGGCAGGGACTAAAGTGCATATATATGTGAAGCGCTACAAAAATTAACAGTGCTATATAAGTACCTGAAATTAATAAATAACCTCTTTTAAAAAGCAGATGTTCCAATAAGCGCAAAACCCCCTTACCATATATTAAAACGCATTTCCCATAGCTCTATCTATACCAAACTCATACAAATACATATACTGTAAGTAATACATAAATAATTTAAAATATAAAAAATACAAAGAGTCTCTTCATGAATATGCTCAGTGCTCAAGTGTCAATCAAACCTGTGAGGTAATATATTGTTCCACAAGATCTACGGTACACCTCCTTGTGATTCGTACCCCCTCGAATCTTCCCACAATCAGAGGAATTTGACTCTTTGCTGTCAACAAAAAGAGTCAACCAGGCATAGAAGGTATTATACCTCCAGATGTGAATGGTATAGTCATGTGAACCTATGGACCCAGAACAGATCTGTTCTCGGAGGATGCCTGGAGGATGGGTGAAATGCATTGGGTGGAGTTGCCGGTTTCCAGTGATGTTGCTTCTGGCCCGTGGAACGCACGCTGCAGCAGTGCGTCAAGGTCCATAGGTTCACATGAGTATACTGTTCACATTTGTTTTTATAAAGTGTTGTATGGTTTTTCTTAAATAAAATTTGTTTCACTATGAAGGAACTCCCCACTTTGTCCTCATGTATGGTTGAGCACTAATTCCCAAGAAGAGTGGTATGAAATTGAAGTGGAGAGCAGGAGAGTGACTGGAATTAAAGGACAAAAAGCACTGGGGACCAGAGGAGAGCCCAGGAGGGATAATACCTGTTATGCCTGGTTGACTCTTTTTGCAGACAGCAGAGAGTCAAATTCCTCTCTTGAGGGGATCACAAGAAGGTCCAAAGTGGATATGGTGGAAGAATAAATTACTGCACAGCTTTGATAGACACTTATGCACTGAGCACTTTATAGCATATGCATGAAGAGACTATTTATATTGTATTTTTTAATTTATGTATTATTCACTGTATATATATTATTTGTATGAGTTGGGTATATATAGCTCTTTGCAAACTGAAGCTTTTACTAAGCTGTGGAGCAACTGCACTTGCAG